TTACATAAGAACATGGCTCATGCTGAAATTTCGAGCCTCACACAGAAAACGACTACTCAGGTTTGGGGGTCGCGTTGGCAGCCTTGTCCTTTCCCCAGAGCTCGAACGAGTAGTTGTCAAAACCTGAAATGAAACACCGTGTCCAATTAGAGCAAAGAACTTGGCGAACTGTGTGAGGAACACAGAAATGCTCATTATAGCTGTTAGTATGGAGTAGTTAGTACTCGATCAGTGGATCTGCTTAGTTTAACCCTAAACAGTACACCTGGGGTCCGCGCGGACCCCAGCACTATATATTCTGTAATATCTTTTTTGTTTCTAAAGATTTTTTTCTGAAATTTTTGGTAATTGTCACCCACAAAGTTGTCTCTCAATACAGTGCAGAAAACTCCGTTTCTACCATTTATAAAAAAAATTATATCTGATTTTCTTTTGGGGTCCGCGCGGACCCCAGCCGGCTTTCGATCATAATGGATACACTGGCGTTCTTATACATTACCTTATTTCCGTTTTTATATGTTTTTATGCACTCATCGTATGTCTACAAAGTTTTCAGAGAATGGTGTAGTAATAGAATTAAATTTTAATAACTTTGGTGTAATAATGACGTCATATGACGTCAGAGCTAATAATATAGTCCGCCATATTGGATTTTGACCAATGACGTCATCAAATTAGCATATTCTATGCATATTAAATGATTTAACTTATATTTAATTATGTAAGATGTTATTAATGTTGGAAAAGAAGTGTAATTTTATATAAAACTCAGAAATTTTTTATGTTAAAACCAAAATTACTTCTATTTTCAAAAAAACTACCCGTTGCCATGGCAACACAAAAAAACATCAACTTACTAGTATTAAACTAATATGAACTTTTTTCCAGAGACATTTTAGGAAAGGTCTCCAAATTTGATACTTCTAGCTTAAGCCGTTTAGCCGCTATCTGAGATCAAAGTTGGGCCTCAAAAGCCCCTTCAGTCTGAAATGGGTTTAAAAATCGGGTATTTCTTCTTGTCTTCTTTTCTTCACCAAAAAATAGAAAAAGTTCAAAAGGTATGATTTTTGTATGTAATGTGGACACAGAGGTTCCCACATCAGTTTGCAAAACAATTGAGCTGGTAGCATGTTGATAATTTCTAAAAATTAGCAAAAAACTGTTCTGGGGTCCGCGCGGACCCCAGGTGTACAGATTAATCAGTCCGGGAAGGTGTTCTGTTGAGGGTTAAAATCTGTTACTGAATGACATCATGCAGACAGTCGAGGTCAATTCTAGGATTGAAAACTACGAATGATGCGTCTTTACTACCTCTTCTGTCGACTCGCTGGTTGAATAGGAATTGTTTGAGATAGTATCTACTAACGGATTCTATACAGTGCCTGGGTATCTTACCGACACAATACTTAGCCATGCTTAAAACAGTATCTACCGACAGATTCTGTACAGTGTCTAGATATCTTACCGACACGATCCTCGGCCTGCTCCTTGACGTCACGGCCACGTCTCTTCCTTACCAGGAAGACGGCAGCAACCATCAGGAGGACGCCGGCTATCCCCGCAGCTGTCCCGACAGCGATGCCGGCAGTGGGCACGGCAGAGGCTGTGGAACGACACAGAGACGTCATGTTAATACTTTCTACTGCACAACTGTCTACTGCCCTGACTGCACAATAGTGGAAAGCATCTACACAACTGTCTACTCCCCTGACTGTACACTAGTGGACAGTATCTGCACAACTGTCTACTGTCCTGACTGTACACTAGTGGACAGCATCTACACCACTGTCTACTGTCCTGACTGTACACTAGTGGACAGCATCTACACAACTGTCTACTGTCCTGACTGTACACTAGTAGTCAACATCTGCACAACTGTCTACTCCCTTGACTATACACCAGTGGGCTGTACACTATACCTTGTTTTTCTCCTCTCACAACTTTGAAGGGTCCCTGGCTGATGGTGACTGTCTCGTCCGTTTCGCTCGCACGTCGCACTCGGGCATCGCTCACGTCAGACACAGCGCGCCTGCGTCGCGTAGCGGGGATGCAGCCCTGACTGCACCGCGAGTCTGGGTCGTCCTTGAAGCAGACCACCATGGTGCAGTGGATGTACACCTGGCATGGAGGAAAAACAACATCATGAATCTGGTGCACCGCCATGCTGTTCAAGGGACCCAAACACCAGGGAGTAGCCATGAATATTCCAGTACTTTGTAAAAGGTCTCTTGTCCCAGAAAGCACCGAAATAGAAACAACTAGAGGCTAAACCGTGTACAGACATGAGGAGGCCAAACGCTAGAACTTTGCTTATTCGTAACCCTTTCAGATGCAGGCTAGTCTGCTGGCTTGAAACATCAGAAGGGAGAAGGAAGTCTTTGACACAATTATAGAGGCCAGGAGTCATCAGAACCAAACGCAGGACCTGTGCCGAAAGTAGAACATCCCGTAGAGAGGTCTACAACCACCGAGTTCCAGCACCTAACGCCCACAGGTTATTGATTGATCGATTGATTCATTGATTGACTTATTGGTTGGTTGTTTGATATCAGATTTAAGCCTTACGACAATCGAGAGACCGTCACGATATGTGTTGCACAGCGACAAACTTTAGACATACGATATCAGCACCTTATACCATGGAAATCAACTTTAAGCTGACAGTTAACCCAGCCCAGCACCAGGCCAGAGTTTACACGTCTGTATTTTACCAGGCTGGGATCATCAACGTTGGGGAAGGTGAATGATTGGATGGAGTAGTACGAGGCCATGTCGTTAGACAGTGCATTGTTCAGTTGAAGTGTTGTGTCGATGTCGCACCTATAGGAGAGAAATGACCAGAATATGAACGGTTAAACCATTGGCCCAGACTTCTAACACGTCGGTACTTTTGACGTACGTCACATGAAGAGTAACGTACCCGTCTTGAATGATGTTGACGCTTGGAGAGGCTTCGGGATCGTCACTTGGCGTGGCGAGGCAGTGGAGGGCGAACAGCTCCAGGTTGTTCAGAGGAGAGTTCACGCTCAGTCCGAAGTGTAGCTGGTCAGACGAGCTCACCTAACCGCGGAGAAATAAGGAACATGAATAACAGACGCGTTGCTTTGTGAGGACAGGCTAAGCATGTGGTTATTGTGTTACAACATACATGCATGCAATTATGACAAGCATATGATCTCATAAATGCCAAAAAGAATAAAATAAATACACATCTCATTTCTGAACTCAGTCTGGGCACAACGGCAGTTTGGAGCGTGGCAGACAGTTTGGCAGTGTTTGGAAGAAAGTATCTCACCTGCACAGGGTAGTCGGCTGACTTGTAGGTCTCAGTGAAGTCTGCAGATGGAAACATGTGCATCTCGAAGGTGAACTGGTTTTCCCCGTTCACAACTTTAAAGCTGTACAGATAGAGAACCATGTGGGTGATTAGGCAGATAGCTGATGAGAAATTAACCATTCTATGCTAATGACCCATTCAGAGTGAACGTAATATTACAACAGAAGCTTAATTCTGAACTCGGTATGTTGGATTATCTGTAATATAAAGTTTTAATCAGCATTGCCTTGAGTTTATTCGGAGCTTAACTTCCTTAAAGTTTGCTCCTGCCGTAGTATAGATGATTGCTAGATCCCAGTTCAGACATAGTTCTGCATATAGGGACATAAGTGTCTACCAGCACTTACCTAGAAGGCGGAATGTTGAAGAGGATTGTCCTTTCCTGTGAGACCACAAACTGACGGACGAACTCACACTGGAACCTTTGACTGAAAGTCGCTCCTCTCACAGCGCCGTTATCATGCACGACTGGACTGCCGAAGGCCTCGTTACTGAAGATGAGTTTGTCGTCTGACGACTATGAAAACAAGGAGACATGCAAAGAATCTTACTAAACAAACATCGAGCCTACGTCGATGAAGGTTAGACATCCAGGTAATACGATACGCCAAAAACAGTTACTCAAGCAACTGGATATGATTTTGAAAACGTCAGACGTTTCAGCTAGTATCCACTAGCTTTCGTCAGTGGTTTATAAGCACAACCTATTGATTATAAAACATCGAGCCTGTTTATTCTACCAGGTCATTTGCAGTTGCATGGACCACCTTGTCACTTTTATAGCAATCCCGCCACCGCATCCATGTCTGTTTTCCCTGTGACCGTTCTCTGTATTACAGACGTCTATTTACCTCCTGGGTCGTCCCGCACTCCTGCAGACCGGTCCGAAGAGTCACCTCGGTCTCGGTGTATGTCGCACGGCAGCTGTCGTTCAACAGGTGCATGGTCTCCACATCTACCTCTGTCAGCGCTGCTCTAGGGAAGGTCACGCTCATGTGGTCCTGATGGCAGTCCACGTTCACGATAACTTCAGCTGAAAAATGATCCATGCGTCTGAGTGAGTATATAATATCCATAACAGCCACAGCGCACAGTCAATCAGTCCTTCGTAGAGGGCCTGCCAAGAAAATAACTATATTCGCAATGACCAGGTCTCACATCCATATCAGAAACACATGAGGCGTGTTTTCTGCTGCATTCCATTTCCTTGGGATGAAGACTTTGTAACTACGTGTAAGCCTCCCTCCACTCATGTCATTGCACCGACCTACCTGTTTTCTGTGTCCCACTGATCTCTCCTATTTGCTCGTCGTCCTCTCCAAAAGCAGTCATGGTGAAGTTGTACTCTGTATCCGCCCACAGTCCCCGTACGATGGCCTGGGTGTCGCCCGGTGCTGGCGGGGGAGACAGGTCCTGGTACGAAGCCCCGGCATGGCGGTAACGGAGTCGGTATCGTGTGACGTCAGCAGACGCCGTCCAGGACAGGGTCATTCGGTCCATCTCGATATCGGAGAAGGTCAATCCAGACAAATCTGTAGTGCTACCTGTAAAGTGGTGCAATTTTTTGCACGGGTTAAAGGTTCTCTAATGCTGGATATCTTTAGATCTCCTTCTGTTTCTCCATCCGTTTCTCTACCTGTTTTATCTGTGTAGTTTGTGTCTGCTCTTTTGACTGTATTCTTGCAATTTTAAAATTTGCAATGCTATTTACAAACATAAGTCCATGACTGGTGCTTAAGCAAACATCATTTTGCCATTCCTGCTCAGCTAAAAAAATTCTATTTCCAGTAAACGACTAGTACTAGTCCAACAAGCTCATTTAGCTGCAGAGTTTAGCATAACGCTGGAATAAAGTAAAATGTCGGCGTTAGTTTCTTAACCACATACCTCTCGGACAGGCGCCTTGGTTACAAGACTCGGTCCTGTCTTCAGCCAGTCCTGTCGCTCCGTCCTCCCGCGTACATTGCGCCCCTCCGTTAGCTGGTTCCGGATTGGTGCAGGTTCGGGTTTGGGTCATCACGCCATCACCGCAGGTCACACTGCAGGCACCATCCACCCAGTCGGACCAGCCTCCATCTAATCGACACGTCAGTGGAAAATACAAGAAAGATTCATAATGATGCCTGGAGGATAGAATGACTTAGAAAAACCGTTCAATATATGCGTGTGTCGGAATCCTTGCTGCTAAGAGATGTGAAAGAAGACTCGTCTATACCAGATGAGACGCACAAAATCCAATAGTTGTACTCCGAGATAAAGACTAAAACAAAGGAACTTACCAACAGTTTCACAGGTTGGACCTCCCCATCCCACCTCACACTCACAGGTATAGGAGTCTCCAGTATTGTTGCACACTCCGCCATTCTGGCAAGGGTTGGGGTCACAGTTGTCTGTGGCAACACAGATCAGAAACAGTATGGAGAAAACAACTCTTAAGAATGTTGCATATCTAGCAGCATTTCTCTCTTAAATTCTCTCAAAAAAATGATATACAGAGAGATGTTCTTACCAGTACAGGTGACTCCGTCCCCGGTGTAACCGGCGTTACAGGTACAGGTGAAACTGCCGGCAGTGTTGGTACAGGTGGCGTGAGCGCTACAGTCATCTGTGTTCTCTGCACATTCATCGGCATCTGTGGATAGAAGAAACACAAATTACTAGTACCAAATGAATATATGAATATTAGACTTTGTTTTGCAACCAGTGGAAGTAGTTAAACATATTGACATCAAAATTGATTTACCAGTTTGACAGTTGGTTCCTCCCCATCCCTCCGCACAGTCACAGGTGTAAGACTCTCCAGTATTGTTACACACTCCACCATTCTGGCAAGGGTTGGGGAGGCAGTGGTCTGTGGTAACACAGGTCAGAAACATGTGGGGAAAACGTTTTAATCTGATCTTTCTGGTTATTTCATGCAAGAAAGAAAGGCAGATGGAAAGAAAACAGTAACTCACCAACAATTTCACAATTGCTTCCTCCCCATCCCTCCGCACACTCACAGGTGTAGGACTCTCCCGTATTGTTGCACACTCCGCCATTCTGGCAAGGGTTGGGGTCGCAATGGTCTGGCAACACAATTTAGAAACAGTGAAGGGAAAACGCTTTGAACAACTTTGGACAATGTGGCATATTAAGCAACATTTCTGTTTGGTGAAATGTTTTACTTACAGATTGATATACAGAGAGATGTTCTTACCAGTACAGGTGACTCCGTCCCCGGTGTAACCGGCGTTACAGGTACAGGTAAAACTGCCGGCAGTGTTGGTACAGGTGGCGTGAGCGCTACAGTCATCTGTGTTCTCTGCACATTCATCGGCATCTGTGGATAGAAGAAACACAAATTACAAGTACCAGATGAATATATGAATATTAGACTTTGTTTTGCAACCGGTGGAAGTAGTTAAACATATTGACATCAAAAGTAATTTACCAGTTTCACAGTTGGTTCCTCCCCATCCCTCCGCACACTCACAGGTGTAGGAGTCTCCAGTATTGTTGCACACTCCGCCATTCTGGCAAGGGTTGGGGTCGCAGTGGTCTGTGGTAACACAGGTCAGAAACAGTGTGGGGGAAAGCTATGAACTACCGTCTAGAATGTTGCATGTCTAGCAGCATTTTTCTTTCCAATGTTCTACTCAAAAATATTAAATACAGAGAGATGTTCTTACCTGTACAGCTGACTCCGTCCCCGCTGTAACCGGCGTTACAGGTGCAGTTGTACCCGCCAGGGAAGTTGCTACAGGTGGCGTGAGTGTGGCAGTCATCTGTGTTATCTGCACATTCATCCACATCTGTGGACACAAGCAATACAAATTAACAACGCCAAATGAATGTATTAATCTTAGACGTTGTTTTGCAATCAGTGGAATAAGTTGATACATATTGACAAAAAAAAGTAACGTACCGATTTCACAGGTGGTTCCTCCCCATCCCTCCGCACACTCACAGGTGTAAGACTCTCCAGTATTGTTGCACACTCCACCATTCTGGCAAGGATTGGGGTCACAGTGGTCTGTGGTAACACAGGTCAGAAACAGTGTTCCATATCTAGCAGAATTTACTTTGAAATGTGCTACAGAAAAAATGAGCGAGATGTTCTTACCTGTACAGGTGACTCCGTCCCCGCTGTAACCGGCGTTACAGGTACAGGTGAAACTGTCGATATTGTTGGTACAGGTGGCGTGAGTATAAAACTCAATGGAAGTAAGCGATGCAGATGAAAAGAAAAACCATAACTCACCAACAGTTTCACAGAAGGTTCCTCCCCCATCCCTCCGCACAGTCACAGGTGTAGGAGTCTCCCGTATTGTTGCACACTCCGCCATTCTGGCAAGGGTTGGGGTCGCAGTGGTCTGTGGTAACACAAGTAAGAAACAGTGTGGGGAGAGGCTTTGAACAACTCTGAACAATGTTGCATATTAAGCAACATTTCTGTTGGTGGAATGTTTTACTTACAAATTGATGTACAGTGAGATGTTCCTACCTGTACAGCTGACTCCGTCCCCGCTGTACCCGGCGTTACAGGTACAGGTGAACCCACCGACAATGTTGGTACAGCTGGCATCAGCGCTGCAGTTCGCGGTGCCATTTTTACATTCATCGATATCTGTGGACACAAGCAACACAAACAAGAGTGCCGCGATTTTATAAAAACACAAACATACACACACACGACACTCAAACACACACACACACACACACACACACACACACACACAAACACATAAAAACACACACACACACACACACACACACACACACAAACAAACAAACGCTACTGCAGACAATACAAAATCTTAAACACGGCTTCAGTAGTTATACCGCCTACCAACCCATAGTCACTCAACCGTTGCCAAATCGAAAACATAACCTTCTGGCAAAGATAACTAAATCGAGACTTTAAAATGATGTGGGACTCAATAAAGGTAATGTATTTACGTACTCTGACAGTACAATGTTTTACTGTTGCACAGTGAGATGTTCTTACCTGTACAGGTGACTCCGTCCCCGCTGTAACCGGCGTTACAGGTACAGGTGAAACTGCCGACATTGTTGGTACAAGTGGCGTGAGGGTCGCAGTTGTGTGTGTTATCCATGCATTCATCCACATCTGTGGACACAAGCAACACAAATTACCAGCGCCAAATAAATCTATGAACCTCGGTTTCGTAATAGGGATTGGAATAAAAGTAACTGATACAGATTGAAAAAAAATATAATATTATATAATTTACCAGTTTCACAGTTGGGTCCTCCCCATCCCTCCGCACACTCACAGGTGTAGGACACTCCAGTATTGTTGCACACTCCGCCATTCTGGCAAGGGTTGGGGTCGCAGTGGTCTGTGGCAACACATGTCAAATGGGAAAGGCTAAGGTTGAATAACTCCAATATTGCATACCTAGCAGCATTTATCTTGGAATGATCTGCTAACAATAATGTACAGCTGATTGTTCTTACCTGTACAGGTGACTCCGTCCCCGCTGTAACCGGCGTTACAGGCACAGGTGAACCCACCGACAGTGTTGGTACAGGTGGCGTGAGCGCTGCAGTTGGCGGTGCCATTTGTACATTCATCCATATCTGTGGACACAAGCAACACAAATTACCAGCGTCAGTTAAATCTGCAAGATTTTGTTGTGTGATATGGAGGTAAATGGAGGTTATGTATGTACTATGTTTTACTGATATTCAGCAAGATGATTTTACCTGTACAGGTGACTCCGTCCCCGCTGTAACCGGCGTTACAGGTACAGGTGAAACTGCCGGCAGTGTTGGTACAGGTGGCGTAAGCGCTACAGTCATCTGTGTTATCTGCACATTCATCGGCATCTGTGGACACAAGCAACACAAATTAACAACGCCAAATGAATGTGTGAATCTTATAGACGCTGTTTTGCACTTGGTGGAAGAAGTTGATACAGATTGACAGGTAACATTAACTTACCGATTTCACAGGTGGTTCCTCCCCAACCCTCCGCACAGTCACAGGTGTAAGACTCTCCAGTATTGTTGCACACTCCACCATTCTGGCAAGGGTTGGGGTCGCAGTGGTCTGTGGTATTACACAGGTCAGAAACAGTGTGGGGTAAACTTTGAACAACCTTTAGAACATTGTATATCTAGCAGCATTTTTCTTGAAATGTTTTACTCAAATATTGAAGTACAGAGAGATGTTCTTACCTGTACAGTCGACTCCGTCCCCGCTGTAGCCGGCGTTACAGGTACAGTTGAATCCACCGTCAGTGTTGGTACAGGTGGCGTGAGTGTCGCAGTTGTGCGTGTTATCCGTGCATTCATTTACATCTGTGAACAACATTAAATTGAGTCAGAATCCTTACATGTCAATCCAAATAACATCAGGTTTTTCGTCGTACAAAACTTGATATCTATCAGCATCTTTTTAAAGTATCTACCAAAAAATGATGCACATCGAGATGTTCTTACCTGTACAGGTCACTCCGTCCCCGCTGTAACCGGCGTTACAGGTACAGGTGAACCAGCCGTCAGTGTTGTTACAGGTGGCTTGACTGTCGCAGTTGTGTGTGGCAGCATTACTACATTCATCCACATCTGTTGATACAAGCAATGAAAATTATCAGCGTGAACCAAATCTGGGAGATTTTGTTTTGTAATATGGAATTCAATGAAGGTGATGACAGTTTTACTGATGTACAGAGAGATGTTCTTACCTGTACAGGTGTTTCCGTCCCCGCTGTAACCGGCGTTACAGGTACAGGTGAAACCTCCGGCAGTGTTGGTACAGGTTGCCTGAGAGTGACAATTGTGCGTGCCAGCATCGCATTCATGGACATCTGTCGACACATACAACACAAATTACCAGCTCGAATTGAATCCTTGAGATTTGTCTCGTGTCATGAAACTCTATAGAGGTGATGTATTCAAGCTAACTGTTTAATTTTTACCTGACGTGCATTCGATTGTTCTTACCTGTACAGGTGACTCCGTTCCCGCTGTATCCGGTCCTACAGGCACATCTGAAACTGCCGTCGAGTGTTGGTACAGGTGGCTAGAGAGTGACAGTTGTGCCTGCCAGTAGTACATTCATTGATGTCTGTGGACACAAACAACACAAATTACCAGAGTCAATCAAATCTTTGAGATTTCCCTTTGTGATATGGAACTCAATCAAAGTTCACCTATAAATTGATGTATATATTAGTGAGATGTTCTTACCTGTACAGGTGACCCCGTTCCCGCTGTATCCAGCCCTACAGGTACAGGTGAAACTGCCGGCAGTGTTGGTACAGGTTGCCAAAGAGTGGCAGTTGTGCGTGCCAGTAGTACACTCATCGACATCTGTGGACACAAGCAACACAAATTACCAGCGCCAACTACATCTAGGAAACTTTTTTCTAATATGAAACTCAATGGAAGTAATTGATACAGATTTGATGAAAAAGTAACTTACCAGTTTGACAGTTGGTACCTTCCCATCCATCCGCACAGCTACAAGTGTACGACAGTCCATTTCTGGTGCACACTCCACCATTACGGCAAGGGTTGGGGTAGCAGGGACCTGTGGAAACACAGGTCAGAAACAGTGTGGGGAAAACGGTATAAGCTGACACCTGTGGTAATTCAGTATGTCTAGTACATCGAAAACATACATTCTCACAACAATATACGCCTTTTTAAAAAATCTCCTCAGCATCATGGACAATCTAG